GAATTTTGGGAATGATGAGGGCAACAAATGTATAGGTGTGCTTTACACAATTGATCTATGTATTGTGATGAATTATATGAGTCACAATAAATTGATTTTTTTTTAAAAAGGAATTGCAATGGTACCCACCATTTTTTAAGAACCTCATTGAATGGTTTTAATGTGTTTGACTGTGGCTCTGCTCTAGGCAAGAGCACGGCATGACTTGTCCACGTCCTGGGTTTACTCTCCCCTCACAGGGTATGCTCATTCAATGTGTGAATGTTTGCTTCTCTGAGCTTCAGTTTCCTTATCTCTTAAACAGGAATAGTAATTCTTGTTTCGGGGTGATTTAATATGAAACCTCTTTGCATATACAAATGAATGTCCTTGTTGTTGTGAAGAGTCTTTTGCATGATTTTATAACTCTTCCTACTTTTGATAAAGGCAGACCGTCTAGGACGGAGTTATACCGGCTGCTTATGGTTCTTTCACGAAGGGATTTATTGAGTCGAACTGAAAGTCGGGTGTAGCACTTAGGCACAATTCATGTGAGGGTACCAAATGATGTTTAAAGACCCAGTTTTTCATCTCTCAGCTTCCTTCCATTCTCACGCTCTATGTGTTTGGGGGAAACCAAGAAAACAAACAAACAAACTACCATCAATTAAAACATTGTCCTCCCATCTCCACTGGCAGTCTCAGGCCTCTTACAGGCTTTCTGGAATTCCAATACGTATTTCCCTGCACATCTAGTCCTGTTGGTTTGAAGGCATGTATGAACTTAATCCTCTAGCTTCCAGGATCGCCCTTTCTATAGGAAGCGGAACTCTGCATTCTCCTTTGAGCACTGTGCTTCCGGTACCAGCAAGGGGTAAATATTTCCTCTTGGCCCCTACTTTGGCTGAGTCAACTCACCTCATCCAGTGTAAACATCTGAGCAAATTTCTTTGGTATGCCTTCTTCAGTGTATCAAAAATTCTTCTCAGTGCAATTGTGTCACCTAGTTTCAGAGTTCTAGGTTGTGTTTAAAATGGAGCTATTTGAATTGCTCCCCCAAAGATTCTGTAATAAATTCATAATTTATATTTTTATTTCTGTATACAGTAAGTTGCCTTTTAGCCACTATCCTTGCTGCAAATACCCTCAAGCATCCAATTAGCTTTATTACCCTCTGTCGTAGGGAATTGTCCCTTCTTTAATGCAAGGACACATTCTAGTTTTGCTTTCAACAGTCCCTGAAGTAGACCAGGCGGAACACAAAATAAGGAAGAGAATTGGGTCTATTTTGGGTATTAATATTCCAGAGAAAGAAATAAATGTCTCTTCACTTTATCAGCTATTATAAAGTCAGTCGTTGCAATAACATTTTTAAAGCCTATTCATAAATCGTATTAATTTTGCTATTATTTATTATTAATATTCTGCAAATAGAGCATCATCTCCTGCTCCATGCTACATATGCCGTGGACAAGGACGCCGAGAGGACTGGGGAGAAGAACCTGTGTGTTTAGATCACACCTGTGATGGGCAGCTTTTCAGACCACTTTGGGTGGGGGGTCTCCCTTCTTTAAATGATATTAGCAAACATTTGTGGACACCTCAAATAGACAGCATAGAGAAATTGCAATGAAATAAAATAACATTCAAAAGTGTCATTTCTAATATCTCAGGGTTTATTTTCTAATTGAGGTAGTCTGCGATTCACCAGGCCAAAAGGAGCCACAGATACAAGGCCTCCCTCCTGTTTCAGTAGTGGGAGTGCAGGAGGACACTGGCAGCCTACTCAGCTTGTCACTGCAACTCTGATGCTCATTCTAGGAGGTTCCCTTCTATTTTCTTTTAAGTTCTATATTTTATCATCTTTAACATTTTCTTCTAAGCCTTTATCAAACATATGGGGCTTGGGTATGGCTTAGATCTTTCATCATAGTCCTCCTCTATAAATCATATAAATATCAAAATTATGTAAATCCCATATAGCCACATGGAAGATTATAATCAAATAAGTACCTACGTCTTATCACAAATAGATAAGGAAACACAAAGACTGCTGAAACTCAATCTTGGAGGTGCCTCAGCTGCACAACCTTATTGCAAATTCAGCAAGAAACTAGGCCACTCCCCAAATTCTAACCAATTACACATGAATCAGTTCGGTAATAGGTTAATTCGTTTTATGAAAATTTACTACATATCTACTTGGTCACAGACACCATTCTGAGGATAAAGTAGACAAAACAAAGTCCTTGCTTAACATAGTGTGTGGAATGGATACCATATAAACAGAAAACAAATAGATATATAATTAAACATCAGATCCTGGGGAAGGCTATGAGAAAAGGAAATAGAATGTTGGGGGGCGGCGGGGGGCGGGGGAAGATGGTAGGTGTGGTACTTCATTTTGACAGAGTGGTTAAAATTTTTGAAAAAGTGGCATTTGAAGAGAAATATGCATAAACGTACCATGCGCCTGTGGAGTATGAACCACTCTATCCAAAAAATAAGTTAAAAGGTAGTACTAGAAATCCATGAAAAGTTGTGTAGGTATTTTTTATTCCTGTTATGATTTCACTCATTTATTTTACTCAGTTGAGCAGACTATGTCCTACTCTTTAAAAATAGATCAGCAGTAAAGTTTGGCATGTTTGGGCTGTCTCAAGGAGCGGGGAAGAAATGTCTTGATCGCCTCAATAAACTCCTTGTTGAATGCTTTTGTTACAGTTGCTCTGCTGAACCAAATTCTGTTCCAGAAAACCATTTCATCTTCTCAACAGCCTGTGAAGCTAAGTGCTATAGTGTTAAACTCCCATTTAACAACTCAGAGTGCTTGAGAGGTAGAAACAGTTCATGCCCTTGGCTTCTAACCATCTACCCAGAGGCCCCTTGGAAGAAAGTTCTGATAATCTACATACAAAAAAACAACAAACCACCAAGCAGCCATTGAAACCCAGAGGAACACCGTTCTGCTCTAACACATGCGGGTTCACCCTGAGTCAGAGTCTAGGGAACTGGTGACACCACGTCAAAGGAAAGTTCAGGAACTCACTGAAGGTCAACAGTCACAGAACGGGAACTTCTAACAGTATACAACAGCTTTTGTCAGTGGACTCAAGCGTCCCCCTCCCAGCCCGTGCCCCAGGATGTATTGAGCAGTTATGGTATTGCATCATATTTTTAAGATGACAGAAAGCACTATCCTTTATCAAATTGTATGTACTCTACTTGTAAAGACAAAACCAACACATCCCCCCAAAATTATGGAAGTGGGAAAGAGGGTATTGCACTTAGGGTGAACATGTACACAATTAAAAGCAAGTGTGGGTTTGTGTTAATATGAGTTGAATAGGTCTTAAACCCACTGCCATCAAGTTGATTCTAACTCTTAGGGCTTAAAAAAAATCTAATCTAACCTTCATTTTGTTTTTTAGCCCCTATTCATTTAAGAGGCAGTTGCAATAACTGGGATGGTTAGCCCAGAGAAGAGAGGACTTGGGGGGATTTGATAACTGTCTACAAATATTTGAAAACTGTTGTGTGGAAAAGAAATTCGATTTGTTCTGCATGGCCCCAAAGAACGAGTGATGGAAAGATACTGCCACGACAGAAGGAAGGACTCGCCAGCACCGTAGAAGACCTCCGGAGCTCTCCGAAGATCGAACGGGCTCTTTGGGAGGAGGGCTTCAGATCCCACAGGGGAGCATCCTCTTCAGGGACAACTTTGGCCAGAAAGCAAGACAAAGTTGGAGGGATGCTTTACTGGACCATTAGGCTCTCTTTCAAGACTGAAGACACACTATTTTATCAGTGATAAAATGTGACTTCTATTAGTGTTTAAACTGTTTGAGAACTCCCTTCTTTAACAGAGTAATATTCTGCAGTTAACAATTTTGGATATCAGTTCTCCGGCTCTGCATGTGACTTCTGGTCGTTAATTGATGATAAATAATCCTCTCAAGATGTGCTTTCGCTCTCGTTTGCTCTGTCTAGGTCTCCTGCCACACACCAGCTACAGTTTCACAATTACTGCCTGCACATCTGCTGGCTGTACTTCAAGTGCGCCTTTTCTAGGTCAGACACTGCAGGCGGCCCCTCAAGGTAATGAGGGGAAAAAATATTCTCTGATTGCGGTGGGGGGGGGGGAGTTTATGTATAGAATTTTGAAGTGAATGTGGTGTACTTTCTCACAAGAAATGTGAAAGGAGGAATAAAGTTGGTAGGAACAACGACAAAAAAAATGGTGTTCTAGATTTCTGCACCTCACTCTGCATTCAACTCCAGATAGGTTCACGGGTGAGTTTTCTTTCCATTTGTAAAGCCTTTTAAACTTTATTTTCTGAGGTAAAAAAAGTTTGTCTACTGGTACACGATGAAAGAAAGATGGGGCTTTCTACTCTCCAAGCCAGTGACCGTCTCGGAAACTCACAAAGGCCATTCGACCTTGACCTACTGGGTCACTATGCATCGGCATTGACTCTGTGGCCGTTCATTCAGTGGTATATGAAATTACTCCAAAAAATAGAAATGTCAGCAAATATGTGTGGGGCAGCTAATGCTAAGTGACCACTATAGTTGACCAAAACAAACACAAACAAACAAACAAACCCTGCCTTTGAGAACATAATGTCCCTTGTGGTGCTATAGGATAGGCATTGGACAGCTAACGACAACATTGGATTTGTTTGTTTGTTTGTTTGTTTGTTTGTTTGAAGAACTTACAATCAAGTGAAAGTGCTAGGGCAAGTAGCTATTAGAGGAACTGGAATCTTGAAGATAATGTTTAGAAAGAACAAATGAAGAGAATGCTGCAGTTATCAGGAAGAGGGGGAATTACAACCCACTGAGGACATCAAGAATATTTTTTACATATTTTTGAAAGAAAAACAGTGGGAGTGATGTAGTCTGAACCATGAAAAGGGGGAGATAAAGGGAGTCCATCACCTCTTAAGGAAAAATGGCAATTTCTATCAAATATGAAATGTAACTTTCCCGGCACCCCAGTTCTGTGTGCCAGGGGGAAATGCACTTCCATCCCTGCACAAAAAGGCATGAACCAGGACGGGGATTGAAGCAGCCTGTGAAGCACTCAGGTAAAATGCTGGAGGAAATCTGAATGTCCACCCATAGAGCAATGCATATATCCCGTATGGATCCAGGTCAACTCACAGTATGGAAACCCACAAATCAGTTTTAAAAACGAAGCTGAACTAACCCAAAGTGAAGTTATAGAAATATATTTCATGCTTGTTCCCTTTTATGTAAAGTCTCTGAGGTGTGCAAACAGTTAACCCCCTTGACTGCTATCCAAAATTTTGGGTGGTTCAAATCCACCTACAGGTGCCTCAGAAAAAAGATTTATCCATGTACTCCCCTAAATTCAGCCATTTAAAGCCAAGAAAGACAATTCTACTATAAGACACATGGGGTCACCATAAGTTAGAATTAAGTAAAAAATGAATTGGATTTTTTAACATTATATTTTATGTATATAAAGTACTCAGGAAAAATGCTTTCATTTCTGAGGTTAATAAATATTATAGGTGTAGAAGAAATTATGGACATATATGTGATATATACCACCTGACATCAAAGGGTACCTTTGGGAATGGGAGCTAGATTTGGGTGATGCCACTTACTTTTAAGAGAAAAATATACACATTAGTTCATGTTAGTGATCAACTAATTATTTTGTTACCTCCTGTTATCTTCCTGTGTGGGGAAACTGAGGCAAAAATCATTTTCTAAACAGGAGTATAACACCATGGGTTCTTGAACGACTTGTCCATTACTCTTCTAATGCTAGGGATCGTTGTACCTCAGAATATTAGACCTGAAATTCCCTACCAGTAAATGGAGAATAAAATGGAAAATTCCACATATGGGGCATATGGCTCCTCCCCAGGAATTCACTAATGATGTTTTCTGTATAAAGAATGTTTCGTGTCAAAAAGCTTAGTGTTCCTTTGAAAGGAAGAGACCAGCAGTGGATTTCTTGGAAAGGTAAACTATCAAATGGATACTTTGATGATAATGGATCATTTCTAAAGGATCTATCAACCAGTTTTGGCTAAAACTCAAGCCTGATAAAATAACACAATCTCTTCCTCTAGTTTACTCCACAAAAATCCATTTATTTAAATTCTGCAGCTATTTTCTCACTCTCCCCAACAAAATTTCTTGAAAGAGTTCAGATTTGATGACTTAAAAATTATAGCTTTCAGCTATATGTACAAGGTATCATTTATAAGTGCAAGGAAGTGTGAGGTGAGAAATGCCCTTGATTTCTTTGTTTAATGTTATGTGCCTTTCCTTTAACTCAAATAGCTATACAGAGAAATACTAAGCTGAGTGGGCTTTCCTCTGCAAAAGGAACATGGGTATTTATAATCCATTCTCTGACTGTATAAGTGTCATTTGTGAATAACTGATATGTAAAGTAAGGATAGTCGGAGTGTTTAACTTGAGACTTGGAAGGGAATAAACTGGCAATAACAGTAAGTTCTGTGGTTTTTCTGTAAAATAAAAATACACATATCATTCCATACTACTAAGTCAATATAACTAATTATAAAATGGAGTTTCAAAGTGAATCAGAAGTAGTGTAAAGGTCTAATATTTGAGGATCCTACATCAATACAGAGAGAATTAAAGGACCCTTTTCTTCATCGACAGCTTGAGCGCCTCATATTTTCTCATTTCTATCTAAAAAAAAAAAGGAAAGGTAATACACCTCGCTACCTCATTGATAAATTAGACATCAATCTCTATAATTGCCTTACAAAATTATGTACCTTCAGTCAAATAGTGTAAGGAGTTGAGATTGGATGGTCATTCTCTCTTTTTAGGAACGCTGGCTTCCTGTGAACGTGCTTACACATTGGGCTGCTAGCTGCAATGTCAGCAGTTCGAAACTACCACCCGCTCCAAGAGAGAAAGCCCAAACTTTGTAAAAGAGTGACGGCCTCTGAAACTCTCGGGGGCAGTTGTGCCCTGTCCCATAGGGTTTCTTTGAGTTGGATTCCATTCAATGACAGTGAGTTTTTTATTTTTGGTCATCCCTAAGAGATCTCATTGACTCCAGAAGGAAGTTATGCAAAATTGCAAGTGTGTTTTCCTCTGGCATTGGTAACATGGAAAGGAAGGCTGGTTGTCTTCAAGTGCACTCCATATTCCTCTTCTTTAAATTGATGGTGTTCCTCCACTTTTTGCTCAACTAATGCCACACAGGCTCCCTTGGAATACTCAAATAATGGCTTTAAAATTACGTGAAGATTCATAGCTACAAAGCACTCAGCTCTAGCCAAGGCCACAATTGTGAATGCCAGGTCTATGTAGCCACCAACCTACTAGATGAATATATTTTGATGACTTGCCAGTATTCAAACTTAGTAATCGGCACTTAAATCATCTTAGCACCCCCTTACCTTACCTGCAATTTGACCTGCTTCCCCCCCCCCCCCGAGTTCCCTCTCTCAGGTACCCCCATCTACTAACACTGCCAAATAGTATAAGCCCCACATTAGAATTCTGAATGCTTGACTTTTCCTTCGAGTCCTATAATCATAGAATGTTTTTATACTGATTATCTGTGATATTTGAGGAAATTTCCAACAATTACTTAGATCTTATTTCATTCTGGAGACTAATACTCTAGAATAAACAGAAATCTCCCTGGGGCTTGCTGAAGCTTAATCATATAATCTTAGCATTTTTGAGGGGTTTTTTCTTTTGGTTTGTTTGTTTTTAATCTTTGTCTCCATCCCTTCTACCTCTGCCTTAGTCCAGACTGACTCCTAGAATTCCCTCTCTTCCTAACTAGTTTCCTTCAGTAAGCATGTTTCTCCTTCCCAGTTTCTCTTACTCTCTTAGTAAAATAGACATACCTCACAGCAGTCATTTTCATATATATGAAATGAACAAATATAGGAAATGAACAAAACATAATTTCATATGTATAATTTCATCTAAGGAACAAAACCCTTTAGGCTAAATAGCTGTTCCAGTTTTAACTTCTGCCCATGTGGACATTTCCGTGCTCCCCATCTCCCATCCGGTGCTCCAGTCATCCACGTACTGGGCATGCTCGATGATCTCTGGATCTTTGGAAGGGCTCCTCTCAGTCTGAGGACAGGTCACCTGTCTCCTCACTGTATGAGTTCTCCTGGGCTGTCTTAGCCACACATACACACAAATGGCTGAAGCCAGTAGAAATGTATTCTCTCACAGATTTGGAGACTGGAAATCTAAAATTAAGTTTTCAGTAGAGCCATCCCCACTCTAAAGCAGGCATGAGGAATATGTTGTCTGTGGGCCAGATGAAGCCCAAGAAATCAGCAAAACCAGTTAACATCGCACAGCCCCAAAGAGAAGCCGTTCCAGCCATCACAGTAGAAGTGAGATAGTTAAATGTTTGACCAAAGATCACAGGATAATTTCCATTAATTTTGCATGGCCTGAAATGACATTATGAAGATCCAAATGGCCCTTGGCAGAAGAAAGCGTCCACACCCCTGTAGAGAAGCATCTTTAAAGGGATTGCCTTTCCCAGCTCAAGTGTCTCCCCCCACTCCTTGCTGGCCTATGGCTTGTAAGGACACCACTTCAAGCTCTGCCTCCATCTGAACTTGGATTTCTTCCCTGTGTCTCTCTATGTCTCAGTCATCTTACTATAAGGGGACTAGTTACTGGACTTTGGACCCAACCAAACCCAGCATGACCTCATCTCAACTTGGTGTTTTCTACAAAGAGTCTTTTCTAAATAAAGTCATATTCTAAGGTTCCAGATATATTTGATTTTTCAGGGGACACTATTCTGTCCATTCAGCTAACTCTAATATTTTCAAACATCCCCCTTTTTTGCAAATCTTGTCTTAGGACCTCACCATTTTCCTATCCTAATTTCAACCACCCCCACCCCCAGTTGTATCAGCTACTTTCCTCGCGATCCCTCCTGCTCCAGCAGCATTTATCATAAAGGATTTTAAGCTTTTCTGTATCCATCTTACTTCATTATAGCACTGTGAACTTTTTAAAGGGTAGGATTGTATTCCTTATCCCCATGACCACAGTAATGACATAAAATCAGGGAGGTGTCAAAT